TGATTCCATTATTAAATAATATAGAAAGAGAGATTTCATATCATGTGATTGTAAACAAAGTTTCAATACATAAACGACTTAAAACTGAAAAACAAAAACCGTTTCTATTTTTAAACAAAAATAGCAAGTTTTCACATATATATACTACTGATGTCGTCAAATATAAGTAGTATACAACATCAATTGAAAGTGAAATGTCTGGTTGCAGAAAGTTAAAAAGATTAAAGGAAAGAGAACGAGAACAGAGAATGATTGATGTGGAAACAAAGGAACAGTTAAATTTGAGACAATTGATCTACATTTTGCAAATGAAGTATTTGCTGTATAATACTCAGATTTTACTAATTTATTTATTAGAACACAAACATAGATACAAGAAGGTACCAAATAGATATGCGCCACAAAAGCCATTCGATTTATATGAGGGCAAGGATATTGCCCCGGTGCCCAAACCGAAGCAGGTGGTTTTCTGTAGGGACCACACTCCGAGCCTTTCACCTAAAGGTCTAACCCACAAGGCAGTGAGGCAACGTTGGCAGATGCAGTCCCATGGTAACCGATGATCAACGAATGGTTCATACACCATTTGTTCCCTCAGGATGCTGGAGCCAATGTACACCATTGGTTTGTATTGAGGGTTTTCCAACTCTCCTAGGTGTATCCTCCGTATCCACCAACCCGGTTAAATCGCCGGACATTTGCTTTTCATCCTTACAATTCCGTAAACAACACCTTGGACATGACAAGGCAGTGAATAGGACATCTCTGACAGTAGTTGTATGCACGTGGCCATGTGAGAGCATTTCAAAATGGAGAGCTCACTCTCCCCACACTCGGCCGTTATCAACGTATTTAGAGACCAGATTTTACTACGATATACCCACTTGTATTCTCGTTCATTCCAGTATTAAATCGAGAAAAATGGTAAGTAATTGAAAATGACAAAAATGTGAATTATCTAATATGCAAATACACATTTGAAAAAAAATAACACAATGAATCGGAATGTATTAAAATCAATATTCCGCATAGCAACAAGTTTTTTAACAAAAAACAAAAGAAAAGAAGTACACATTAAATCATTCCAAAAAACGACTATGATGATTAGCTCAATTGTTAAAATAAAATTGATCCAATTCTTTCTTGATTGATATTGATACAGACATTTTCTTTACCAAAAAAAAAAAAATAATAAATAATAAGATAAATCTCACTGATTGGTTAATATTTCTCAAGGTCAATAGAATCCGGACTACTACATCAATCATTTGTGAACAGAATGTACTTTATTTTTGGATCAATAATTGTAACCAACTCAATGTGTTTAAATAATAATATGATCAGTTTAGGTTAGATTTAATATATTAGATACTTATGGTTGAGTTTTGAAGTAAACTAACGGATTGTTATATCCGAGCGAAGATTAAATCACGAGTAACTTCTGAGACCAATTGATGGATTAACATTATCTATATATTCTTATGATATAACTATTCAATAATTCGACTATGTATATTTATATTCCCCTTGTTATAAGCTTTATTTTGACTTATAATTTATTATTGTACGATTTACTGTTCTTAAGTTATGTTCAGTTTATTGACTACTGCCTCCCACGTTCACTGCCACTTTTGGCTTTATTGTGTACACGTGTTATATTTTATGATGCGTTGCGGTCTGTTTCATTGATATATAAACCCAGTATGTCTGAAATAAATGACTCATATTACAGAAGCTGGCATTGTGTTCTGGACTCAAGTGGACGGGCTAGGCGGACGTAGGACCAATAAGGACGCTAGACTGCTCATACTGGTCGAACGTCATTGATTCGGCATAGCGCGAAGATTGTATAAGTCGTATTTTGATTGATGGATGAATCATGCGATAAAAAGCCGGACATAAAGTCACAGCACTTATAAATACATATTTCCCATATTTTGGGATTCAATAATAAACTGTTGCATTGGAACCTAATTGATCAATAGTTCATCAAACATTTCATTCAAGTAAACTAAACTGTATGATAAAGGGAAATTAGATATTTATTTTTGTGACTGTTAAACATCATACAGTTTTCTACCATTTTTTGTTAGGTTGTACCACTAGGACTAGAAATCTGTGTTCTTAAATCTAATATTATTTTGTATATTGTATTCCCTTACTTTAGACTCTATAGTTAACTTACGTTCGCTCAATCAGTCAGCTACAACATAGGACCAGGCACATATGTGCATCAGTCCAGGTTGCCATTCCTCGGTCATTAGCACAACAAGATGAACACCGGATTCATAGTACATGATTCAATGTTAGTAGTATATAAAAGAAAGATTGCAATAAGGATATAGTACAGCAAGAAAGAATTAGTTTGCAGAAAGAAAGATATGAAGCAATTTTAATCTCATAGTTTAAAGGAAGATAGAGTGTATACACCGACACCATTGTGATCGATTCTGAGCCATGTCACCAAGAGTCTCTAACCATTGGTTACGATAGTCACGCGGACCCCAACCAAGTAGTCTGTATCTACCAACATGGCTCAGACTAGAAGTTAGTGACTTCAAGCACTGATGCCACGTTTTGGTTTGCTTCTGCTTAATTTTTCCTGCGTTATTACTTTATTGTGTCTCTCTCTAATGGCCATGTTTCGCTGCCGTAAATTAAAACAGAACGAACTGCTGTGCAGTATACTCGTCCTTTAATGGATAGACGGATACCTTTAGAGGGGGAGAAACGCATCCGAAACGTTCTGGCATTGTTGCTCAGTGCGACCAAAAGACTCCGTATTTTATCAGCGTCTTCACCAAACAGGAATATGTCATCTGCGTATTCCAAGTCGATAAGTGCACCTCCTGGTAGGGGGACGATAGATCCCCAAACTCATATTTTTAAATTTTATCTTATCGATCATCTTATCGATTAAATGTTAGATATTTTTATTGGGGTCAATTGATGAATTATCGATTAAATGCGCAAATAGGTCAATTGATGAACTATCGATTAAATGCGCAAATAGGTCAATTAATGAACTCGTTGATTAATGTTTAAAAATTTTCCATGACAATATCGATTGTAAATAATTGTATAAATACGCTTGATTTGTGTGTTTGATTTGACTTGTTATCTGCTGTTTGTCTGTAGAATAAACTTTCTACACCTTACCCAGACTTCTTGATCAAGTTAGCAGAGTTGGGGACAACGGACCAGAATAGTCTATCGAGTCGCTGAATCATTGATCCTTCGTTTCGTTCGAGTAAGACGCATCAGTAATCGCATTCAAGCAATAACGAAACATAACAAATTGGCGACGGTGGTTTTTCGATTATGGACCCTACCAAACTTGAACTGTTACTTGAGCAGCAGCTAAAATTGATGCAAATGTTAATGGAGACCAAGGTTACGCCTCCCTTACAGCCAAGCACGTCTAGTTCAACCACGGCACCATCAGTAGATGGCATCGCAAATAGCATAGCTGAATTTCATTACGATCCTGATGCTAATGTTACTTTTGGGATGTGGTTCAGGCGTTATGAAGATCTATTTAAATTTGATTTCGCCAATCAAGATGATGCTTGGAAAGTGCGGTTGCTACTTCGTAAATTGGGTCCAACTGAGCTGGACAAGTATTGCAATCTGATCCTGCCTTTGAACTCACGTGACCGATCATTTGCAGGCACAGTTCAAACATTAAGCCAACATTTTGGCGATAACTCGTCACTGTTTAATACTCGTTATCGTTGCTTGAAGCTAACTATGAACGAAGATGATGATTTTCTTACGCATGTGGGCGTCGTCAACCGTGAATGCGAACGCTTCCGGTTAAAGTCCTTGACTGAAGATCAGTTTAAAGCCCTGATCCTTATTTGCAGCCTACAGCACCAAAAGTTCAGTGACTTACGAACAAGGCTACTAAGTCGTTTGGATCAAGAACCGAAACTCACCCTGAGTGATATAGCTAATGAATATCAACGTCTCATTAATCTTCAACGAGACACTTCTATGGTCCAGAGTGGTGGGTCTAGCCGATTTGAAGTACGAGCGGTGCAACAGACACCTCACAAAAACAAACACGTCCCCGCTTCATCCAGTCCATCTCACTCCAGCTCTAGACGACAGACTAAAGCAACTCCTCCTGCTCCTTGCTGGCAATGTGGTGCATGGCACTACGTTCGAAACTGCCCATTTAAACAACATCGATGCAAGAAGTGTAAGGTTATCGGTCATAAGGATGGGTTTTGTCTGTGGAAGAAGACTCCAAGTCAATCAAGAAATACCAACAAGACCTGTCCTAGATCCCGCACCAGTTCATTGAGCTTAGTATCTTCGTGTCAAAGCTCATCACCAAGTCAGAGAAAATTTATTACTGTTAACATTAATGGGCATTCATCTAAATTGCAAATAGATACAGCATCAGATGTCACTATCCTCTCTCGTAAGACTTGGATCAAAATAGGCAGCCCAAACTTGCAGCATACAACGCAAAAGCCTCGTACTGCCTGTGGTAATTACCTTCACCTGCTAGGAAAAATGGAATGTACAGTTACCTTCCGTGATTTGGCATTTGTTGGGGTATGCTACATAACCCCAGCTGATCTAAATTTGCTCGGGTTAGATTGGTTTGATCACTTAAAATTAGCTGATGTCCCGTTGAATACCATATGCAACCTGGTATCACAACCACAACTGCGACAACAACCACATGACTTCGAATCATATACGAGCACCCTAATGACGCAGTTTTCAACTATTTTCCAACCTGGATTGGGTCGCTGCTCTGTCATGAAAGCAACACTTCGATTGAAAACTGGGGCTAAGCCTGTTTTTCGCCCAAAGAGACCTGTCCCTTATGCAACATTACAAACAGTAGATGAAGAATTGAACCGCCTTCAACAACAAGGAGTTATCACTCCCGTTTCCTACTCTGCATGGGCAGCACCTATCGTGGTTATTAAGAAGGCCAACGGCACGATACGTATATGTGCTGACTTTTCAACAGGTCTCAATGCAGCTCTGGAACAACATCATTATCCCTTGCCTGTTCCCGCAGACCTATTTACCATGCTGAATGGGGGAAGATTTTTCGCTAAGCTGGATCTAGCTGATGCTTATTTGCAAGTGGAAGTAGACGAAGCATCAAGAGAGCTGTTAACTATCAATACTCATCGTGGTTTGTTCCAGTATAACCGTCTACCTTTCGGAGTCAAAACTGCACCATCTATTTTCCAACAATTAATGGATACCATCCTATCAGGTATCTCGGGAGTCGCGGCTTATTTGGATGACATTTTAATTGTAGCAACGACATTAGAACAACTACGAGAACGCACGACATTGGTACTGCAACGCATCAGTGACAACGGGTTCCGGTTACGCCCAGAGAAATGCCAGTTTCATTTGCAGTCGGTAAAGTACTTGGGGTTCATTTTCGATGCCGACGGCCGCAGGCCGGATCCTGAGAATATCCGAGCTATCAAACTGATGCCCACTCCCACTAATGTCTCGGCACTACGTTCCTTCCTGGGACTTGTCAGCTATTACTCAGCGTTCGTTCCATCGATGCATGATATTCGCGCTCCACTCAATAGCTTACTGCAGAAGAACAGCTCTTGGAACTGGACAAAACAGTGTGACACTGCCTTTTGTAAACTGAAGTCCATTATTAGTTCTGAATTGCTGTTGACACACTACGATCCAGCCATGCCGATCATCGTAGCTGCAGACGCTTCAGCGAATGGCCTAGGCGCTGTTATCTCCCATCAGTTTCCGGATGCGTCGGAAAAAGCCATTATGCATGCAGCCCGTACACTAACCCCAGCAGAAAAAAAATACAGCCAGATAGAAAAAGAAGCGCTTGCACTTGTGTTTGCTGTGCGCCGTTTCCACAAGTTCCTGTACGGTCGGAGATTCACGCTTCTCACAGATCACAAGCCTTTACTCGCAATATTCGGGTCGAAATCTGGCATTCCAGCTCATTCAGCAAATCGCCTTCAGAGATGGGCTTTAGCACTCTTGGGGTATGATTTCGAGATCCAGTACCGACGCACTCAACAATTCGGTCAGGCGGATGCCTTATCACGACTCATTAGTGACCAGTTGGCGGCTGAGGAAAACACGGTAATTGCATCTCTGCTAGCGGAAGACCACGCCGAATGTTATCTGACGACCGCAATACGAACTTTGCCGGTATCTGCAACGGACATACAAAATGCTTCTAAGAGCGACCCCATCATCAAGAGAACTATGAACTATGTCACCAACGGTTGGCCGACTAAGAAGTTTGATGGTGATATAAAACAGCTGTATCAGCGGCGGGATTCTCTATGCATTGTGAACGACTGCTTGATGTTCGGAGAGAGAGTGGTTGTGCCAGAATCCCTTCGTGCAAAAGTGCTGAAACAGTTCCACCTTGGTCATCCGGGGGTTAGACGAATGAAATCCATAGCCAGGAGTCATGCGTATTGGCCGCTAATGGATCAACATATAACAGAATTGGTTGGGAAATGTATGCGGTGTCAGCAAGCGGCAAAAATGAACGCCAAAGTTCCACCAGTTTCATGGCCACAACCTGATCATCCTTGGTCCAGAATACACGTCGACTTTGCAGGCCCGATTAACGGAACCATGTATCTAGTTGTAGTCGACGCCCTTTCGAAATGGCCTGAAATCAACCCTATCATACCGCCAACGACAACTAAAACAATACAGATCCTCACAGAAATTTTCTCCCGAAATGGTATACCAGATGCTATTGTATCTGACAACGGTTCACAGTTCACCTCCAGCCAATTCCAGTCATTCTGTCAACGACTAGCCATAAAGCACTTACGCTCGCCACCATACCACCCGCAGTCGAATGGGCAAGCAGAAAGGTTTGTGGATACGTTTAAAAGAGCCTTGGCTAAAACAAAAGGGGAGGGGACGCCAGCAGACGCGTTGCAAAATTTCTTATACGTGTATCGAACAACACCAAATGAAACGTTGCCGGAGCGAAAGTCCCCAGCAGAGATCCTAATGGGAAGAAGACTGAAGACAATCCACAGCCTGATGCATCCAAGTAATGCACCGACACCAGTACGGACAAAGTTTGAAAAGCAATCCACGTACGAAGTGGGATGTCCGGTGTTTGCCCGTGATTACAGACCGACCCATAATCCATGGACAGAAGCGCGAGTGGTCAAAAGAGTTGGCCGAGTCATGTACGAAGTTGAGGTAGGTAGTGACAGGTGGCAACGCCATCGGAATCAGTTACGCAAACGGTTAGCCCCAGACCGCCCATCAACAGAATCAAATATTCCTCTTGACATTCTGCTAGACACATTCAACTTACCGGCAACCCCACCACAAGAAAAACCTCAACAACAAACTGAAACACGTCCAAGACGGTGGCCTATCCGAGAACGGCGAGCAACAGTCAGGATGCAGGTTGACCCCAGGAAAGCCCGCTATTAAAAAGGGGAGGAGTGTTGGGGACGATAGATCCCCAAACTCTATTTTTAAATTTTATCTTATCGATCATCTTATCGATTAAATGTTAGATATTTTTATTGGGGTCAATTGATGAATTATCGATTAAATGCGCAAATAGGTCAATTGATGAACTATCGATTAAATGCGCAAATAGGTCAATTAATGAACTCGTTGATTAATGTTTAAAAATTTTCCATGACAATATCGATTGTAAATAATTGTATAAATACGCTTGATTTGTGTGTTTGATTTGACTTGTTATCTGCTTTTGTCTGTAGAATACACTTTCTACACCTTACCCAGACTTCTTGATCGAGTTAGCATAGTTGGGGACAACGGACCAGAATAGTCTATCGAGTCGCTGAATCATTGATCCTTCGTTTCGTTCGAGTAAGACGCATCAGTAATCGCATTCAAGCAATAACGAAACATAACAGTAGGAGAACTCAGTCGGCGAGTACGTTATTCACATCAGTATGTCTGTGATCAAGTTGAACAAAAATGGAGATAGTGGACAGCCTCGACGGACACCACTTGAGGTTGCAAAATCAGGTGACAGTTCGTTATAAGCTCTCACTTGATTAGAAGTGTTAGAGTAAAGAGTCTTCACAAGGTTTATATACTTCTGACGTACTTACGTTCGCCAATATTGAGTGTAGCAGCTTACACCAGTGTATATTTCTGTGATTTAATGACTGTCACAAAACTACTTCTTATTCGAATTTCTTTTCATAAAATCAAAATACATAAAGAAAATTGTCTTCCATAATGAATATTCTGACAAAGTATAGAGGATACTGAATATCATGAGTGTTTAAATAAATTAAAGTAATAGAGCAAACTGTTTATCTCATATGTTAAGAAGGTTGTAAGAGTGGTGATTACTGATTAAATCTTAATATGAATACAGGCTGCCCTATCATTATTGAGCAAATAATGTCACTTAAGTTGATTTTGTGTTATTCGAATACCTATCGTATGGCGTAGCAGTTTGAGGAAAATAAATATATGTGATAACTTCTATGTTGCATTTATAGATATGCTACCAGTCCATGTGAAATTTGAAACGAAACGATACATTTGCAAATTGTTATGTATGTCGGACCCTTCTTAATGCAGAGAGAATTCTAATGATCAAATCGAAATATAGCCACGAGTCGAGGTGATCTGATATCGTGTTTACCATGTTGAAATGTAAGGTGGTGGTTGTAGGCAGCTGATACGGAACCCTGGACCTAGGTTTCGTACTAGTTGGCACTCACCAGCACAGTGAACCTGTAATATGGAGGGGACCGATGCTCCCTGGTGGATCCAGCTTCACATCGGGCTATGTGAGCCGCGATCGACCTCCTGTAGGACTGACCAACACCGATACTCAATCATTTCAAGTTAGTTTAGGTAAGTACATATTTCAGGCGAAATCGGTAAAAAAACTATACATTGTGTTTACATTCAAATTGTAGGCTCTTATTAAAGATGGGATATAACGAACAAAACTTCACCTAGAGCCCTGCTAAGATTACCGTCGGTCCGCAGCCCGGATACAGGAAGAGATTAGGGCATGGAGTCAGCTGGCCCATCCCGTAGAAAACAATGTTGCTAAAAATCGCTGATCAGAAAAAACAACTTAAACAGTTTAATTTCTGTCCTGGGAGTTAAAGGATCCTCGTCTAAAATTATGATGCCTGATGGTGAGAGCCAAGATTCTTCGGGAGTCCTGAGGCCGATGCCCCTTCTAACAGCCGGAGTAACAACTAACTTAGGTACATGGAATATTCGGGCAATTTGAGAGACCGAGATGACCAGTCAAACAACTGTGAAAATAAGGATACAACCTGGAGATATTTGGAAAAACCGAAACCCATTGGACCCAAGATGGACGGAAAAGATTAGTCTAGGGAGGGTTGGTATTGCACTCTAGTCATGAAGGAAATGCCTCCCACATACAAGGAGTTACACCGATGCTATCGAAAGAAGTATGAAAATCATTTAAAGGAATTGAATTTCAGGGATCCAGGATCATCAAAGCATTCTTCAAAACGAAGGAGATGGTCACAATGACTGCTATGCAACCACCGATGAAAGCAAAGAAGATAAAGATAGGTTATATGAGGGGTTACAGTCCGTCGTGGAGAGGTGATCAGGAAGGGACCTGACAATCCTGATGGGAGACCTAAGCACCAAGGTCAGGATGAATAGCATCGGGAATTGAGGTATCACAGGGCAGTGTAGACTGAGAGAAAGTAAAAGTGGTGAGAGATTCGCAGATAAGTGCCTTCAACAAAATGGTTGTGGATGACGCCATATTCCCACACAAACACATACACAAAGCTATATAAGATTCAACAGAGAACCAAACCAATCACTTTTGCATTAATAAGAAATCCAAAAGATCCATGGAAGACGTGATAACAAAGAGAGGAGCTAATATAGGTTCAAGTGATTAAGTGGTTATGGCGAAGATGAAACTGAAGCAAAAGTAAAACTGGACAGCTTGGGAAACAGCAGTACAAAAGTTCAATGCAGCCTTCCTACGGGATACTGACAAACTCAATGAATTCAAGATAAATCTCAACAGGTTCCAAGCCTTACAGGATCTACTGATAGAAGAAACGACTATGGAGGACAACTGTAAAAGGATCAAAGAAGCACTAACTTCAACGTGTCAGGAAGTGCCGGGCAGCAACATGCATCACCATAAGGAATGGATCTCAGTGGCAACTCTGGACAAGATTCACGAAAGGAAGAACAAGAAGACAGCAATTAACAACAGTCGAACAAGAACAGAGAAAGTTAGGGCACAAACTGAATACACAGAAGCAAGCAAGCAAGTGGAGTGTTAGAGCCAACAAGCAGAAATACGTGGAAGACGTTGCAATGAAAGCAGAAAAGGCAGAGAGAAGGAAATATGAGAAAGCTATGTGACACAACGAAGAAACTAGCAGGAAAATATAAAACACTCTGACGACCAATCAAGAACAAAGAAGTCTAGCCAGTAACTAAGACTCAAGAACAGTGGAACAGGTGGGTAGAAGACTTTGAATAATTCTTGAATAGACCAATCTCAGTGGATATCAAAACAGCACATACAGACCTTATTATGGGTGTCATTCCACCAACAATCGGAAAAATAAGCATGGCCATCAGATAAATCAGGAGTAGAAAAGTAGCACGATCAGACAACATACCAGCTGAAGCAGTAAAGTCAGACAGAGAAGTAACTGCAAACATGCTCCACATTCTATCCAGAAGGACTGAGGAGGAAGGATGAGTTCCGATGGACTGGAAAGATGGATACCTCATGAAAATATCAAAGAGAAAACTCAGTAATTATGGGAACAAGAGAGGTATAAAACGACTATTAGTACCACTAAAAGTTTCTAACACTGTTGTCGAACCGAATAAAAAGTTAAGTAGACGCCCAACTTCGAGATCAACATGCCGGATTCCGTAAAAATCGACCGTGTGCCGACACCACAGGCCACTATACACCAACTTCCTTGACTATAAGAAAGCATTTGGCAGCGTGGATAAGACAACCCTATGAGACTTTTTTCGACACTAGGGTGTACCTGAGAAACCGTCAACATCATACGGAATTCACGAAATGGACTAAACCGCAAAGTCATGCATGCAAGGCAGCTGACAGACCCTTTCTAAATGAGGACCGGTGTCAGATAATGCTGCTTACTGTCGCCTTTTCTTTCTCCTGGAGATTGACTGGAATGTGAAGACACATAAAGCATAGGATAAAATGGACAGTTTTGATGCAACTAGATGACTTGGAAATCGCAGATGACCTAGCTCTTCTGTCCTATACACACGAACAAATGCAAGTGAAGCAGCATGAGGCTTCAACATAAACAAGAGAGAAAGCAAGATCCTCAAATACAGTATAACGAGCACCAAACAGATCACAATTGATGGAAAAGCTCTAGAAAAGTTGGAGAGTTTTACGTAGCTGGGCGGCATCTTCGGTGAACAAGGTTAATATAATGCAGACGTAACCACGAGGATTGGTAAATCAAGGGCAACATTCGTATAGTTGAACATATGGAACTCAAAACAACTGTCAGTCAACATCAAAGTCGAAATCTTCAATACGAACGTCAAAACAGTTCTATTGTACGGAGCTGAAACTTGGAAAACTACTACAACCATTACCAAAAAGGTACAATTATTTATAAACAGTTGTCTGAGCAAGACACTCAATTCCGTTGGCCGGAAACAATCAGCAACAGCCTGCTGTAGGAGAGAACAAACCAGCTCCCACCTGAAGAGAAAATTAGTAAAACTCACTGGAAATGGATAAGACATGTATTGCGGAAATCACCAAACTGCATCACGAGGTAAGCGCTAACTTGGAATCCTGAAGTAAAACGGAAAAGAAGACCAAAGAACACACTGCGTCGAGAATCGGAAGTAGACATGGAAAGAATGAATAGTAACTGGAAAGAACTGCCCAAAACAGAGTTGGTTAGAGAATCTTGATCGATGGCCTATGATCAACAAGGGGTAACAGGCATAACGAAAAGTAAGTAACAACAAACAACTTGTCGAAGGGTGATGGAACGATCCAGTCTATCAGACTCGTTCAGTTCCTTAATCAGAGGTCCGTCACCATCTTCCAGAAATAAAGGACCTAGCTCGTATAGGTCGAATAACTTTAGAACTTTCGCTTCTCCATGTGGGCAGGAAGTCATTTTCACAAAGAGTGAAACAGTCTACTTGAAGACGCTAGCTGACAAAGCATCTTGACGCTCATTCAGAGAGCTTTACCTAGCGTTCAGGACGTCTTTAAATATTTAATTTTTAGGATAAATGAAGTATACGGAAATATAATCCTGTCAAAATAATTGATTGTCAGTAATCTCATAAAGTGAAACAATTTTATGTCCAGTCGAATATATTTCCTATACAGGCAGTTCAAATACTATATAGTAGAGATATAATATCCGTTAAAAACCACACACTAATGTATTAGCTAATTGAATCAACTAGTCGTTCTATAGTTCTACCTTCTGAAATCGATCCAGTTCAGATGTTACTGCCAATAGTAAGTAATCGAAATAATCGCCTCAATCATTTATTTCAGTAATCTATTAACTTGGAATCCTCAACGATCATCTGACTATTAATAGACAATCTCATTGGAGATAATTAACCGTATTGATGTGAATCAATTGGAAGCAGACCTCTCATGGAATATGCATCTAATTACATCGATATGTATAGTAATTGGAAAAACTTAGAAAACTTAAGCATAAAGTATTTTCACAGATTGAAATCATGAGTCAGTTGAAGCTAGACCACCATTGAAAACCTGGAAGCACTGGACGGCCGTTTCGTCCTAGTACGGGACTCCTCAGCAGTGCGCATCCACGAACCCGCACCACGCGGGGCTCGAACCCAGTACCTACTGGCTTCGCGCGCGAGCACTTAACCATTAGACCACTGAGCCGGCATCCAATGGTGTTAATGTCTAACTTCAACCAATCCACGAAGTTGCGCCACCATATACCATTGTCTTCAGTGAGCTGATATCTCACAACAGACCTGGTTTTACTCCACTGGTAACGGCTTCCCACTAGAACTCCAGGAGTATCTCTTGAAGTCAGTCACTAGTGAGCAGATGATTATTATCAGAAGGGTTTTCAATGGTGGTCTAGCTTCAACTAACTCATGATTTCAATCTGTGAAAATTTCTAAAAAAATCTCCACAAACCCCTTCTGACATAAAATATTTATTTAAAACATTTGACAATCGATATTATTAGATAAAGAAAATAAATGATAATAGTAGTATCTTGCCCATGCAAAATAAAACCCAATATAATAAGTTAATGTTATCATGACAACTAATGAAAAGTTACAGATAAATTAGAACCAACAAAACCAATTAAAATCAATCAAATAGATTAACAATAAACAAACCAATACTTAAAAGACATGAATCATATTTTTTGGATAATCTAATTTAGTAAGTGATGGAAGGCAAGCAAATTCAATAAATGATGGTGGACCACAAATTAATGTGATTGTATCATTATCTTTCACTGGATAAATATGCTCTTGTAACATTTGTTCATTCACATAACCAGTACTGTATGCCCAACCTATATTGAACAATTAAAAATACACAACAAGAGCACAGAGTTTAATGGATATTTTTAGATTTAAAGGAAAAAATTAACTAATCTGATCCAACAGGGAGGATGCAAGTGTCTGCATGTTTCTGTGGGTCAAAAAACTTTACCGGTGATAAATAAATAACATAGTTGTCATATCCCAATGAGTAGAAAAATTAGATTTTCTGACGTTTCGTGAGTTAGTGTAAATCACTTCTTCAGGGAATAAATAACCAAATTAAAATTAATCCAAGTTTAAATAGTACAACGGAACAATGTAAGAATAATATTGGATCAATCAAAAACAGGTCTGGACAAGTTAATGTCATGTCATTCCGGTCAAGGTGATTCATGAGTGCTATGTATGTAAATTTGTGTGTATGTATGTGTGTACTGTTTGAGGATGAAAAATTGTGTGACCTTTATAGTGAGAAAGGATAGAGTTTAATTTGTGAGATGATAGTGTGAATTATAAATACGATCAGACTGAATGGCTAGGATAGATAGTCCAAGTAGGATGTATGCTAAGGCCTTCTTTTCTATTGAGAGATATAGGATTAAGCATTATATGGAACGCTTCAGCTACTCTCCTTTCGTTGTAATTGGAAAAGCCTTTTTGTAATATTTTGATATTTTTAAAATCAATTTGGTGGTCGTTGAAAATGGCATGAACTGCTATTGCCGATTTAATTTGAAGTTGATCCAAATCTACGGGATTGTTAGGAGGTTTCTTTGTGTACCTAAAATGTTCTTTGGCTCTAGTCAAGATTTCACGAGACGACTCTCCAATATAGAAGGCATCACAATGGACATGAATGGGATTTTTTCTTTTAAGCGAACTAAAGTATTTCGAAGTGTGTTCGTTGTTTTGTAATATACTTTAATTCTGTGTTGTTTTAAGATTCTTTGGAGTTCTTCTGTTGTGCCATGACGGTATGGTAGAACTGCAGTACCAATCCATGGCGTTTCATTCGAATCATTATTATAACGTACTGAACTGTCTTGTTTTAATATACTGCTAATAATCTTCATAGGAAAATTATTAAATTGTAAGATGCTAATTACATTCTTTTGTTCTTTTTGTTTGTCTTCCTCTGATGTGATGATCTTGTTAGCTCTTCTAAAAAGATTTAATGCTAGCGAGATCTTAGCACTAAAAGAATGTGCTGAATGGAAGTCAATATAACGATTTGAGTGCGTAGGTTTTCGGTAAATGGATAGGTTTAGAATTCTATTTGGATTTCTTTTTACTAAGCAATCCAAGAATGGTAGCTCACCACGTTCATTTTCATTCGTGAATTTGATGTACGATGAAAGCGTATTTATCCGTTTTGAAATAGATCTTAGATGAGTCTTTTTTAACACAACAAATGTATCGTCTACATATTTAAGCCAAATTTGTGGTATAATGTTGTGGGCGAAGATATTTGATTCTATGTATGCCATAAAAAGGTTGGCTACAATCGGGGACACGGGGGGTCCCATTTCTACACCGTTAGTTTGTTTGTATAAAATACCGTTAAAAGTAAATAGAGTTGAATTTAAGCAGAGTTTTAGTGATCTCATGATTAGACTGATGCCCAACGGACATCTGTCAAAAAGAGTATTGTCGTTCTCTAGTAAACCACTAATGAATTCTAAGCATTTATCAATGGGAATACTGATGTATAGAGAAACGAGATCAAAGCTTACCATGATCTCATTCTTCTCGATGATTAATCCAGATAATTTTGATTTAAAGTCATATGTATCTTTAATCATATTATGTAAGTTGAGCTGTAGTGGTTTTAATATATTGCTTATATATTTCGATAATGCATGTGTTGAGGTGTTTGTGAAGTCTACTATCGATATAAGGGGAGTACCTGGTTTATGAATTTTCGGTAAACCATAAAACTGTGAAACATTACATGATTTGGGATGCAGAGCAAACCAAAGCGAGACCCTAATGATAGGTTTTAGCTCTTTCAAAAGTAATCATGAATAAAACAGATTATATTAGTAAAGCTCTTGAACATCTCTCTACAGAACCATATGAAAAGATCAATCCAAAAAGTTCGCTAACGATTAAAAATAAAGTTAAATCAGAAACAAGTCAACTTTTGAAAGAGCTAAAACCTATCATTAGGGTCTCGCTTTGGTTTGCTCTGCATCCCAAATCATGTAATGTAGGTTGCTAGGTAACTCGGCATTGCGCTGAACATTGTTTGATGTTACTTATTTAAAGACAACTGATAGAGACCCTGTATCTACATTTGGTGCCTACTCATACTTATCAGAAAAGTGTGTCCGTAATCCAATGGGATTCATCACGTGTCATCATATGACACACCAAAAAAATATGAATATTCTTTTGCATACAAATAAGTAGCTGATTCACAATTTATTGGTCACTGTGTGGTGATCAATGTCATGTGTGTCAAGTCCTTCTTAGTGCAGATCGAATGCTGTCGACCAAGTTGCCATGTGGCCGCCAATCTAGGTGACTCGACACTGCGTGCACTATGTTAGGATTAGATCGTGGTTGGAGGTAGTCGACAGGAAATCTCTGGACCCGGGTTTCGTGCTACGTGATCCCGTGTCACCCAGCTTCACAGTCAGAGACGTTATCACTGAATCCGTCAGGGAGCACCAGTTCCCTCAAGATTACAGGTACACCTTGCTGACAAGTTTCAAGTAGCACGAAACCCGGGTCCAGGGTTTCCTGTCGACTACCTCAAACCACCATCTAAGTAGCTTTTTAAAAATAACAACTATTATCTGTTTACTATGTAATATTTCATTTGAAGCATGACTGATGCACTCTTAGAGACTTTCCATATCCATTCATTATCTGTATTCATTGAAATTGAAGGAAAATTTAGTCTGAGTTACAATTTTCCCCAGTATTATTGATCGTTTTCCATATATTACCTAATAATTTATCATTAACAATAACAAATAAATGATAAATGTGAATGAAGTAATAAATGAATAAAGGTATAATACTTACGTTCCGGTGCTTCATTCAATGTATACCAAAGACGAAAATGATTTGGATATTTATCTTTGAAATTTTCTAGTTCATCACGTAGTATAATATCTTTTTCACTCTGAAATATTAATAATGATCAAAGAACCTAATTACATCAATTAAAGAAACTACCATTTTAGACAATGATGTAAAGTGAATTTATTTCTTGTTTGTATGAAACTAGATCTGCAAAGACAACTGGTATAATAAATAATAATAATAATAACAATATAGATATAAACAGTACACATCTTAGGTTATATAAAATGATGAACAACTATTTCAGCGATCTATAACATACAAACACATTTTAATCAGTATAAGCATTTGTGAAGATTGTAGTATTTTCAAAGTTCAATTCATGAGTTGATTTATGCTAAACCACTATTGAAAACTTGGAAGGACTAGATGACTGTTTCATCCTAGTGTGAGTCTCCTCGAATAAAGTTAGACATTAACACTGTTGAATGTCAAGATAAGCGTTAGCCTGGGAGTCCTGGGTTCGAATCCCGTGTGCGAGATCGTGGATACGCACGCTGAGGAGTCCCATACTAGAACGGAACGGCCGTCCAGTGCTTTCAAGTTTTCGATGGTGGTTTTTTATTTATTTATTTGAACTCATAAACATTGGTACAAAGGAGTACAAAATATGCGACACACAAGTCACTTGATTAGTTGGTAAGTTGTGATACTGCCCGGGTGCCCAGACCAAAACAGGTGATTCCCTTAAGGAGCTACACCCGGAGCCTAGGACCCAAAGATCTGATCCACAACGCAGTGGAGCAACGTGCAGAGATGCAGTCCCATGGTAACCGGTGACCAACAATTGGTTCATATGCCATTTGTTTCCTCAGGATACTGGAGCCCATGTGCACCATTAGTTTGGAATCAGGGTATTCCAACTCCCTTAGATAGATCCTCCTCTACAACCTACCCACATAAAGCGCCAGAAATTCGCTTTTCGTCCTCTCAATTTGACAAACACAGCGCCCGCGGGAAGACAGTGAACAGGAGTTCCCTGTCAATGGTTTTATACGCATGGCCACATTAGAGCATTTCAAGAGGAAGAGAGGACTCTCCCTACCCTCATCCGTACCACGGCATTTGGGGCAAATTAGACCACCTAGTGAATTCAACTGTTAAAATAAATTTTTGTCAATGACTTGTAATGGGATCCAGAATGTATGCCTTTTTTTATCTATGGCTTGCTAACTGAATGTACATGCAGTTTTGTGTTGATGTTTGGACTGTGTGAAATAAATGCACATCCACTTTGGTTCAAACGAAAAACGACTTTTTATCAAGCAACTAATATGCCACAACCAACCATCACTATTTTAAATTGTATTTCACATTATTGTGTTACGTTTGTACTTCTAAATTATCTGTAGAAAGAATTAGTTTATATATTCTAAAAGATAAGTGAGTTGTTAAGTGTATATTATTAAAATGAAGTAACCTAAAATGATGATAAATTCATTTCTTTAAAAAGAAAAATCAAGTTATATGATCTAGGAAATACTGAATAGATGTTTCGCTTTAAAATAGAGACACATCAATGTCATGTACTTTGGACCTTTAAAAAAAATCATAAAACAGATTACTAAAATTGTGCTCACTATTTACTTGCTTTTTTTAACCGATATCAATTGATTATTTATTTATTTATTTAAACACATAAATGTTGGTACAAGAGGGCACCAAATGTGTATGCGCCACACCATATTTGCGTGGGTGGGCTGCGATACTGCCCGGATGCCCAAACCGAAGCAGGTGGTTTTCTTAGGGGGTCACACTTCGAGCCTTTGACCTAAAGGTCTGATCCACAAGGTAGTGCAGCATCGTAAGGAGATGCAGTCCCATGGTAGCCGGTGACCAACGATTGGTTCATACGCCACTTGTTCCCGCAGGATACTGGAGCCCATGTGCACCATTGGTTTGGAATCCGGTTAAAGCGCCGGACATTCGCTTTTCGTCCTCTCATTTTCGTGAACAACACCCCCGCCACGAGAAGGCAGTGAGGACTTTTCTGACAGAGGCTATATACGCGTGGCCGTGTGAGAGCATTTCGAGAGAGAGAGAGCGAACTCTCACCACTCTCGGCCATACCAGGGCATTTGGGGGCAGAATACTAATCAATTTCATAGTCAGTCAAATATAATGTAAAATCTGGCACATTAATAAATCAAGTTGAGTTTCCATAGCATATTGACACGGTAAAATAATAATTATCAAGACAAATGATAGAGTAGTAGAAGCAGTTAGTGTCAGTTGTTATGGGCAACATTAGACATAAACAATATGATTCTGAACAAAGAATAAAATGGTAGAATAAAATAAATAAGGTAATTTAATAACTCAAGATTTAAGTAGGACAGAGAGTGAAGGCATTTGTTCAATTGCCACCGATTCGAAACCATATCACTTAACACCTGAGATTATTGTTTACGATAGTTGTGTGAACGTCGACCAGGCAATCTACAATCTATTTAGATGACCCAAGGAGATAATCAATAACCTCGTCGGCTGATGCAACTTCTTGACTAACATCTAATTTTCTTCCAACTGGCTCTCAACTCTTTAATATAGGAAGTGGAGATAGGTGGTGGCTGGGCATACATAACATGCCTCAGCCATCACGCTTGAGAAGGATTTACTCCTTCATCACCGATTTCTTAGACTAAAAAGACGTTTATTAAACTATGAAATTACGCAAATAATTTTGACAGATATATTTTGAGGTGGTTATCAATCAGCTAGTCATCAACTAAAGATCAGACATAAATGTTTATTGTCCCAAGTTTCCATGCCTTACATCAACACAGCCAAAGAAGAAAGTAATGAGTAAAAAAAGAACTTGAAATTTCAACTGAGATAGAAATATAGTCAACAGAAATACGTTTCAAAAGGAAAAAAATCGAGATGTCCAAATAAGAATGTAGGAGTAACACTTACTGTGACTCTCTACTTTTCTGGGAATTGACCTGACAACTTCATTTCTCTATGCTAATGGGGTACGACAACTTGAACCGATGTACATACTTACAGGTTCTACGTTGTGGTTGACTGACTGATTGAGTAACATTTAACTCAAGATTTCGAGGAACATAAAGAATGAATAAGACGTATCCACCGAGAAAACTTTTGCGCGATTTCACTCAACGACTAATTACGTATATACCATAGACCTTTAACCAGGATTCCTGAACTTATGAACATGAGTCAAACCAGCAGTTATTTTGTGAACTAATCCTTCCTCGATCTTCATGCCTTTACGACCTTCCAAACTTACAAGTGAACGAGGGTTGGATGTTACTATAGGTGGTGACTAAGCATACGCACCGTAAAGGTTCATACTCGAACCAGACGACTAGTCGTTCATACTTATTACAGTACTCATAAACCTCAACATTAAGTGTTCGGTAGTTTTATTATAATCGAGGGATGCTTTGAAGATGCTTACGATCAAACACTTGCAGTCTATATACATCCCTTGATTTCATAGACCACGTTTTAAAGTCATAGTGATACATGACAAATTAATGTAGAGTATTTTCACCTCCTCGTTGACAGGCAAAGATCTCGTCTGGGTTACAAGGAGCTAGTGTCAAAAATGCAAATGATAACAGTGAAAATGTACAACTAATGTAAAATTCCCCACATATTTAAATCCACGTACCACATTGGCAAAGACCATGGCTATTTGTGTTGTATCATCTTTAGACTGAAGTATGTAAGATAATAGCTGGAACATTGGTGTTATACCAGACCCGCCACAAATCATATTGACATGTTTCACTTTTACAGGATTAGGTGAACTACGTAGATCCGGCTTTATATGGAATAAACCTAGGTGTAAGAAAAACAAATGCAAAATATTGATAGCCTTTTTTCACAAGGTCGGAGGCTTTCATAAATAAAATCTAATCGATTTTTGATTTTCGTAGAAACTACTCAATATGTGGTTATTAAGGCCATGAAAGGCATGAAATCAGAAGGGTACAAGGGTTTCCTGTCAACTAACTCCAACCATACAGCATCCCAACGTAGTGCAAATGATATCGAGTCACCTGAACGAGTAGCCGCACTAATTTGGTTGATAGAATTCAGTCAGCACTAAAATGACAAGGCAAGTATGACACTGTTAACTACTTAGTGATCAATCAATTTTAAATACGTCAGGCCTGCAGAAGTCAGTTATCGCTCGAATGGCCTAGTAGTAACATCTCATAGTGCAAAGCTGAATGACACGGGTTCATGCCCATTAAGCAGCATCAGTCTCTTCAAAACTAGAGGAAAGAATTGCAGAACTGTTAAATGGTACGAAAATTAGTTCCAGGGTTTTCTGTCGACTTCCTCCAAATACCTGACATGCCTATTCGCTTATTTCTTCGAAATAGCTACATATAAATGGCCAGATACAATGAGTGAGACTTTTATTTAGCTGTTGCCGAAATATACAATAAGCAAACCAGTTAAAATAAGGATTCACCATTCCTATTCTCTTTAGAATATATGAATTAATAAACAGTAATAAAAATATTATATTTAGCATGAAGAGAACCGAAAGCGGAATGGTAATAAATAACTAGTTACCAGTCAACATGGATTGGAATCCTAACAGATATTGAACGCTTACAGGTTATTATAAAAACACAATCTTAAAGCGTCATCGATCTTGAGCCATATTACCTGAGTTATCCAACCACTGATTTACACTAACCCCAATACTACATCCCAAACATGAAGTCGACATACCTGTACGTGATAAAATTCAATTATTGCAGATATCGGCTTCATATATTGACTTGACCATCACTAACTATTTACTAACCAAACCCTACTCAAGAGAGAATTACAACGATTACCCCCCGCCCCCCCAAAAAAGAAACAAATCCTAGTCCGTAAAGATGTATGATATTTTCAACCGATTTTTTATTTTAATTTGGTATTCTACATATCATCATCAGCATTACTCATTCGGCTGTTTTACGGAACGCAAACAATGCATTCAAAACATCTTCTTCTGAAAGCTATGCAATACTACAGAGCTTTAGATGGTGGCTGGAGGTAGTCAACAGGAAACCCTGGACCACCATCTAAATCTCAATACATAGTGCCCGCAGTGTCGAGTCACCTAGACTGGTGGCCACATTGCAACATGATCGATAGCATTCGATCTGCACTAATAAGGACTAGACAAGCATGACATTGATCACCACCCAGTGATCAATCAATTGTGAATACTACAGAGCGGATAGTTTGGGCCAAAACAATATGGTTTCGTTAAAACGAAAGTGTTTTTTTGTGTCTGGGTTGATTAACAAGATGTTGCAAAAAAATATGGCAATTTCTTCCGAAATATCTGGAAATAAGCAGATGCTGCTGACCGTGAGGCTACACTCCTGCATCAAAAAGATACTAAATAAACTTAATATTACTACTATTATTGGGAAAATAAGTGGAACGATCAAAACACCTGACTAATTCATCCTCTATAATCCAGACGAGGTAGTGATACAGATTAGCCATGAAATAAAATGTTCTGTGCACCTTATTACGATGAATCTTGCAGTAGGAAGCTAGTTCCTTAAAAATCAAAAGAAATTACCAACTCTGGAAGTATATCTGATGTAAATCTGGATGAATGGGCAGCATCACTTGACGCAGTCAATAATGGCCAGTTAGTTGCAGACGTTAATTTGACTAACATTGTATTATTATTATTATTTTAACACATAGATACTGGTACAAGGAGGCATCGAACAGATGTGCGCATCATAAATCATTCGATTCATGTAAGGGCTGCGATACTGCCCGGGTGCCCAAACCGAAGCAGGTGGTTTTCTTAGGGGGTCACACTTCGAGCCTTTGACCTAAAGGTCTGATCCACAAGGTAGTGCAGCATCGTAAGGAGATGCAGTCCCATGGTAGCCGGTGACCAACGATTGGTTCATACGCCACTTGTTCCCGCAGGATACTGGAGCCCATGTGCACCATTGGTTTGGAATCCGGTTAAAGCGCCGGACATTCGCTTTTCGTCCTCTCATTTTCGTGAACAACACCCCCGCCACGAGAAGGCAGTGAGGACTTTTCTGACAGAGGCTATATACGCGTGGCCGTGTGAGAGCATTTCGAGAGAGAGAGAGAGAGCGAACTCTCACCACTCTCGGCCATACCAGGGCATTTGTGGGCTACATCTCACGTCGCTCTACTGCCTCGTGGATTAGACCTTTAGGTCAAAGGCTCGAAGTGTAACCCCCTAAGAAAACCATCTACTTCGGTTTGGGCTCCCGGGCAGTATCACAACCCTTACATGAATCGAATGATTTATGCTGCGCACATCTGTTTGGTGCCTCCTTGTACTAATATTTATGTTTAAATAAACAAAATAAATCTGTTACTTTGGCTACCCAACGTCGAGATCAATGAGTACGATTTGTTCCTATTTTGTAAGCATTTCTAGATATTCAGAATGCTGAGTCATTGTTCCAAGGCATCAGGAATTATTATCTTAAGTAATACTGCAAATACATGGTCTTGAGATTAATTTTCTTTTTAACGTATTTCTGGGATTATGATTTATCTCTTGATTATCATATAGGAATTTAAAAAGGTTCTTCTCATTTAATTCCTTGGGTTAAGCTCAATGATAATTTTAAAGGTGGCTTCGTGACTAAGCTCTACAAGAGAATAGTAGTGACATGCACAGACTGTATAATTCACTGAATGGGTCTGAACTTCTAAGAAAAGTTCTTTTATGTTTAAGACGTCCAACTAATAATTCTCAGGAATTATGTAAAATTGCGTCAAAGAGTTTCCACTTCTAAATCAATGCAAATAAACATTCTCATCCTAGTCAGAGCATGTTTTTGTTTATATATAAGGAAAACTGCTTACCATTGAAATATGGTCCGTTCTTATTTAGTCAGGTAAATATTTTTTAGTCGAAAGGCAGTTTCTACCAGTCGGTATGCGCTGAAAACTGTTTTCTACTTTTTTAAGTAGTGTAGTGTATTATATTAGGTCCACTGACAGCGTAAATCGACAGATTTCAGCTAGAATAAATTTTAGCCCAATAATAGTATAAATAAGGTGACCCAAAACGACTTCAGCAATAATAGAAAGGAGTTACAAAAGCCACTAGAACATACCACACCCTTTGTATTCCAATTTTCCAGATGGACCACGAACATCAATAAATCCATCGATAGGGAGACTAGCCAAATATTGTGACATAACTCCACCTTTGGGAAATTTAGGATTAACGTTTCCTTTATACACCTAAACAACAGTAATAACGTTGAGTTATACGAATAATAATCGGCACTTTAAAAATGACGAGATCAATCAAGTGGTTGGTACAGTGGTACTTCTCCTTAAGACAGTAACTAGAGAACTACTGGGTGATTAGTCGACGTATGCCGTACTCAACAGCATTGTGAAGGGATCCTGTCCATAAGATGTTGAACATACTTATGAGTAGTCGTACTTTAAGCTTATGAATTCTGCACCCTATGAATCGAAGACATGGATTCTTAAACTAATGGACAACCTACTATTAAGTTCAACAGCTCCAGTCGCCTTAACAATATGCTTATGCTATGCTACGCAATCCTTTTTCCTATTTTAGAGCTATTCCTCCATATAACAGTGGATTTTACATTTTACCGTGCATTGTAGAACCATATTCTAATATCAAGACACGAAAACAAAGTCAGCTGGCCAACATCAGATCACCATGGAGATACCAGATAATGGGTGACATGTAATACGAGGCTGCTGACACGTAAATAAAAAGGTGAAACAGACTCGTTGATTGCTGCTGCCACACTTTATATCAGAACAACATGAAGAAATCAACAGAATATGAAGCAGATTATATTAGATAATATCCACTTCAGCTGAAAGCTGGGTAGAAAAACATAATTCTACAAAAACTAATGAGATCGGCGAGTGGTAATAACTGGGTGGTATTATTATCTTGTACAATCCATGACTATATACGGGTAATAGAGAGGTTATTGTGAAGATAGTGAAATTTAGCTCGACTACCTTATCAGATTAAACAGTGGTCTCTTCCTAAAATCAAAATCTCCTATACTATGACTGCCTCCAGAATTGGTCTGTAAAAACTGGGTGACCGTCGCTTAGATATAATGCAAAACAAACAAAACAGTTATGTACACTGGAAATAGCAGAAGTATGTGACTGACCTACAATATGAAGACTTACTTTTATGACAAAGTCAACATATCCTTTTTGGGTGTCTAATGTGATCGGAGTGTAAGGTCGAACCACCATGTTCCCATCAATTTTCGCACTGAAGTATACATGATTACCTAAAAGGAACGGTAACTAATTGGTTAAAAAACTTTACCAGCAGGTAATCCAAGAACATGGTCAGCTGTGGGGAGACCTAGTTTTAGGCGGATTGTATCATGAGTGATGAACTAATTTATGGGGCTTAGAAAAAGATACCCTACACTTCTATCCACTATTCGTAAAGGAATTTTCGTATCACTATCCACAAGAGTTCTTTTCGGCTTCTTAGGCCTGAATATCAGTCCCAATACGACACCTGAAATAGCAACAACTGCCGATACTGAAGCAACAACAGCAATCTGAAAAAGAAATGCATCATAATAAACAGATGCTAACAACAGCCGTCGTGTTCTGCGTCATGTTCCAACCTCGACAAACGAATAACCGGGTTTGACTGACAGATGACCATGATGTCACAAAATTCCCTTTACTGTACTAAAACTAAAAGAATGTCAAAAGCTGAGACAGTAGTTTTTGTTCAGTATCAACATGATTGAACCGGATGTTATCTTTTCCTAATAGAATATATAGATCATCATTCATATATATCTTCCAATACCTTCGCTTTAAACTTCTCGCTCTGTTACTTTGGGATTCTTATGTAAGAAGAATTGTCGGACAGTAGCGTTTACAAACACTGCGTAACCGTAACATTTTTACTTGCCCTAAACTTAAAGGTTTATTAAACCCTATTACGTTCCTACTTATACCATGTTGAAAACCATGTAAATTAAACATCTGCTCATCATAAATAGCAAAAGAGGTCAAGAAGCTCCTAACACATAGGAGACACTTGAACATGCTCAGCTCTACAGGTAGTGAAGTATTCGAATCCATTTGCTGCAGGCCTAAGACAGAATGAAATGCTTATAAGTAATTACATACATTTATGCTAAAAATGAATGATTGTATATCCCAAATAAGCCACAAAATGTCACCCCACTATATAAAGATACAAAAGTAGAGGTGTGATGAAATCACTCCACTTCTACTCCATAAAGTTTACTGGCGTTTGTGGGCAATCACTCTTATAGGGCCGAGGGCTTCCCAAAATGTCTTCAGATAACGACACTAGGACGGCGGCCTATAACACTGACAATGGCGATGTGTCCTTTGTTCTTTGAGAACGGAGGTTTGGCAGGAAGAGGACGTCGAGTGGAGTCGGCTGGAGGAGCGGTGTTGACTGTACCAGTCGCTGTCGAGAGAGAGAGAAAGAGAAGGGGTAGAACTAAGACGTCTAGTGGATGGACGGACAGTGGATTTAGATATCCCGGCAGACTGACACTGCTATGGAGATCAGAGCGCTGGCGGAATCGACATTTCGAGGTGATGTTTGGCACAGGCTGCGAAAAAGAAGGACGTGGCATGGCGAGTAGGACGACGGCGAAAGTGACTGTCGTTCAAAGGAGGGACAAGTGCGGTGTATGCTACTTATACTGACAGCTATACGTAGTATGTAGCCACAAACAGGAGCGGGAATATTGGCGTGAGTGATAACGCAAAGGTGACATGAATATGTATTTGATGTATGATTTTCATATTTTACTAAGCCACTGTGTAATTTCGTATCCAAAATTAGATCGGTTTACCCTGCATGAATTTAACGTAGGTGAGTTACGTTGAAATATGGAGACCAATAAGCGGTGTGTCCGATAAGATAAGACTACAGGAATGCACAAGTGGACCAGCGGTTATTAAAAAGAGAATTCCAGAAAAATGGTAGCAACGGAAATCAGTCACAGAAATATTCCCATAGTTACACATTAAGTGGATTGGTGTATCCAAGGTTGATTTTCATGAAAACTCTGTAATCATAATAAATAATCACTGTAGAACTCAGAGTAATGTTAAAACAGCTGTGCCAAAAGTTTACAACCCTTAATGACTGCGAATATGTCATAAGGAATTGTCTAGGATAGTACATCCAGTTTGTTTAGCTCAAACCTCAGAATATGAGATTCAAACATCGAATTCTTGCTTCGGATATAAAAATGCTATACCTGGAGGACCTTGGTGACGAGAGGTCAAAATAACTACGAGTCTTCCTGGCTTACCGTATGTAGTTAGACTGAGGTCCATGAACCTGTTTTCACCATCTTGTGGCTAGTAATGAGGTGCCCTAATACTGGCTTAACAATTACTGAAAGACGATTATGGTATCGATATGTCTCATCTTTCTCTTCCGTCTGAGATTAATCAGGAAGACGTTCACAAAACGTTCGAAAGTACAGATTAACTATCTACAACTGTAATCTCGTATTTTGTATCCAGCTGTGAATCTTTAGAATTCTTTGTAGAAACATATGTCATCGCATCCTGCCGGTAAGTCCAATAACTTCAGGTTTTTACAGTGCCCCAAATCACTAGAACTAACATGGATCACCTGATCTCCTGTCCTTATATTTTATTATTGAATACAAATCGTTCTGGATCCTAAAACGAACAAAATCCAACCAAGTGAAGTTGACTCGCGTAATATCATTCGAATAACTCTTTTTTATATCATCTATCTAAAATTAGACCTAATTGTTTACCGTTAAATTATTCTCAAAAAATTATCAACAACTTCATCATATCCTGGCCCATGGGTTTTGAGGGGATTCATATCTAAAACTTTAAACGCGATCAGTCAAGTTTATTAACTTGTTCCGTGAGTTTTAATCCAGGTTTATAATTTCAGAAAGGCAAGTTTGATATACTACCTAAGCCTGAGCGCAGCCCGCATCTACCACATTCGGCGCAGTAAAGGTCTTAATATAGATAAATAGGCCTTAATATGTTTATTGTAATGTGATTGTGGCTGTAACTGAGGTTCTTGACCAAGTTCGGGTGTTAAGCCTTTCTACTCTTGTCAGTTATACCAGAATCGAATTTCTTCGTTCACTGTGCATTTCTGTCATGTTGTTGCCATTGTCCCGATTAAAGTTTGTCGTGGTTGAATTGGGACAAAAAAGCTAACAGATGATATTGATGATATTTTTTATTGCAAACAATAACTTGTAGACTTTCATGTCTTGCTATTCGATAAGCAGTTGTCTCTCGATAACTGTGGTAACGAAGTTAGATCCTTGTGAAATCACTGGTTTTCGTGATCTTATAAATTAAAGGATAAGTTGCAGGAGCATACTCTTAGGTCTGTATGTAAACTACAGCAACGGATTCAAGATGTTGATCAGAGAGCTCCCATATATGTAGTTTTTGAGCAGTAGATTTGTAGTGGTATTAGTTATAACCACACAATCCTCAAAGTTGAACGTGAGATAACTGGGAAAATAGATATACAACACTTAACACGAAGTGAGGGTTAAACATGGTGAACGCGGAAACATTCACTCAATTAATTCAATCAGAGAGCTTGGCTCAGCCTCTTAGACATGATCATTTTGTAAACATTATCTTTACTCACATTAGATATATTATTCTATTTTTAGCCCAAATGTGTCCCTCAAAAGTGCTAGACATCATATTGCTGATTCCTACGATACAACGAGTCGGAGTAGATAAAGATAGGACTGCCTCGTAGGATCCCATAGATAAGGTAGTAACATCCAGACAAATATGCACTCTTAGGATTAGGTCTATCATTATAGCAGTACTAATAACAAACTAGACCGTAATTCTACAGATTGTTCAAATATACTGAAAGTTTTATCATCGTAGAAATGAATCACGTCCATCCTAACGTATGATAGCGAATGCAGACGCAACGACGTGATAGGAACCACGAAAGTCGGCGAATAATTTAATCACTTCGGCCTGAGCTTTCCCGTGACTGTATTTTAATTTTGCACTTGGTAGCCACCATCCTAGCTTAGTTTTTGCATTTTTTTCTTTTGCTATATATAACGTTTTTTAGTATCACGAGATTTGACTCGGGGATCCTGTTTTTTCAGTCATTGTGTGGTCAAAGGCCAATACTTTCATACCTTTTCTCTGTAACAACTTGTGGCCCTGTGCCTTATTAAGTTGTAACGTAATGATACCACCAATTAGAGAACAGTGCTTCATCGACTGAACTAATGGCGCGTAAACCAGTACGAACAGTTTAGAAACCTTATCAGTCCGGCTTACGCCTAGCCCTGACTGTTACATCCAGAACACCAATCTCAACCTCTGTGATGTGAATCACGTATTTCATACATACCGGATTTATATACAAATCAAACAGATCACATCGTACCATAAAATAGGGAACAATATTTGTTCAAGACTTAGCCAAATGTGGCTGTAAATAAATGAGATAGTAATTGATAGACAGGGCATAACTCAGGAATGGTAAATCGTATAATAATTGTTCATAGGTCAAAATAAAGCTTATAATAAGAAGGACACGAACGTGAATAGTCTAGTTAATTAACAATTATAAGATAAAAATATGCGTATAGTAACAGTTGAGAAATAGATCCCAACAGTTGCCATTAATTATTCTCATCGGGATATAACATTATTCTCTACTGCTCTTTATGCTTACCTCTTAAACTTTTAAGCAGTGTTGTTTTGATCTATGAAAATTTGAAAGTTTCAACATGTCTGGTGTGGGATCCTTTTGTGTCATTGTGGACGTGGATATAAATAGACATTTAAAGTTCTTTAAGCAACTTACAAGTGTTATTCTATTAAGTTATCATCTCTACCTAATTATTTCTCAAATGTGTCTTCTGGCAAAACAAGGGCTAAGTGAACCAGAATGTATTTACAGCAGATTTTGTGATATGTGACTGGAACAATGCTACGCTTGAAGAGATCGCGAGTTCACCTAAATCTGCGAACGGAACGAAGATTCAGTGACAAAATGACCAGATAAGTCAACTATTCCGACTTGTCTCAGCCTCGCTAACTAGGCGAAGTTTAGATCAGAAGAGCGGAAGTGATTTCCACAAGAAGAGCAAACAACAACAATCCCGGCTCAAGCGTATATATACAGCTTAAAATATCCCTAGCAAACATTACAAAATAGCATATCAAGAGTCCTGTCAAGTGTGAAATACGACATGAAGGTGAAAATAGGCGCTTTTGAAACGAAAATAAAAAATTCGACTTTTCATAACAAAATTATGGAAATAAGACATTTTTCGAGTGATTCCTTGGGATCTAGAATACACAACAAACAACTTGACTGCTTCTCATATTCAATGATACTAACATTAGAAGAACCTGGACCTAGGGTTTGTCTAGACCCGCTGGCATTAATGCCAATGTAAAACCGCAAATCTGGTTGGCTTCTTCGTTTTGTACGGATGATCAATGGGTAAGTCACTTTAAAAATCGTCTACTTGTCTCTGATGTTAAATGTTCTGTAGCTGTTCAATGTGTTTGCATATTTACGAATTCGTGAACAGGTTTTTAATGAAAATAAAGCTGGTCTTGTAGTTCACTTTATTTCTGTAAATGTACTTTTTTA